ACACACACACACACACACACACACACACACACACACACACACACTGTGGTAGTTTGACTACGAATGGCCCCCACAGATTCTTGTGTTGGAATGCTTGGCCATAGGGAGCTGCACTATCAGGAAGTGTGGCCTTGTTGGAGGAAGTGTGTCACGTGGAAGGTGGGCTTTGAGGTCTTACATGCTTAAGCTACATCAATGTGGCACACAGTCTTTTCTTGCTGCCTGTGGCTCAAGATGTAGGATTCTCAGCTCTTTCTCCACTGCCATGTCTGCCTGTGTGCCACTATGTTTCCTGTCATGATGACAATGGGCTAAACCTCTGAAATTGTAAGCCAGACCCAATTAAATGTTTTTCTTTATAAGTGTTTCCATGGTCATGGCTTCTCTTCATAGCAATAAAATCTTAAACACACACACACACACACACACACACACACACACACACACACACACACCCCAGATAAATCTTTAAAAATTATACCAGAAGGTAACATGGGGAGTTTTAATAATTTAAACGGTTTTAGTAGAAAGAGAAATAGTACCTAAGAGACACGGAAATTCTTTACGGACAATGGAAAAGAGACACCAAATATTGACTCAAGAAGGTTAACGATCTGTGTGTATCATAAACTGTGCAGAGAAATCTGCACACAGATACGTAATAGTGAGGAGTTTGGGACTCGGAAGGCAAAGAAAATATTTGAAAAGAAGCCGTAGAGAGAAAAAGGAAGTTTGCTTTTTAAAAAGCAACAATCTGTCAGTTGACTTCCAGGTGTCTTGGGAAGCTGAAGGACAGTGGAATGTTTTGAATACAGGGGAGATCATTGCCAACATGAACTTTTATTATCTACAAGCAAGGTTAAACACATCAAAATAGGGGGTGTTTTCACACAGCTGGCCTTCATTAAACAGTGTTTTCCTACGTATGCTTCGGATAAAGGTGAAGTTAGAGAAAAAGCTTACAGCGCAGAAAGAAACAGAGTGGTAGAAGCTGCCAACATGCGGGTAAGTGCAAGGGTAAGGACACCTTAAAGTAAAAACATGAGTGTGGTAAAAACTGAAATATATGGCTAAGGAATGTGTAAGGTAGTGGTGTAAACAGTATGAAGCTGTTCTTTGGGCTGTGTGTTTTATAAAAAGACATAGTCCCTAACTGAAGATATTTAAAATTTCATTTTGCATGTTGTGACATGTCCGGCAGTCTTTAACAGAGACATAATGTTTTATTTTACACATACTAAATGACAAATCTGGTAGGCTGTGAAACAATTTAAAAGAATGAAGGGAAAAACACATACGGAACAGACAGGACAAATAAGATGATAGACTTAAACAGAAATACACTAGTAATTGCAATGAACGCAGCGAATTAGATTTATAAAAACTAAGACTAAGTTGTTAGACACATTTGAAACATATAGGTACTGATAAGTTCAAAGTCTGAAAGATAAAAAGAGCAGAGCACACAAATGATTTTTAACTGAAACATTTTTATATGATATGTTTTGAACATATTCTTTCTCCTCCCGTAGTTCTTCTCTGAATGCTCTCCACCTCAAAACCTATGCAATTTTGTGTCTGTTCACTAACTTCTAAAAACCAACCAGCCAATCAACCAAAAAAACCAAAACCAAAACCAACGCTCCAAAAAACAAGAAATGAAAATCAAAACAAAACAAAACAAACAAACAAACAAAACCAAAAAGACCCCTAAGACAGAAAAAAAGAACAGTTCATGAAAACATGGCGTCTGTTTTGTGTCGGTCAGATGTTCCTGGGCAGTGGTCTGCCCGTAAGTGTGATTGACATATTCAGAGATACTCCATTGAAGAAATCTAGTTTTCTCTTTATCAGAAGGTGTCAGTTGCAAAGGGTTTCTTGATTAAGGGTGGGATTTTGTGTCCACTTCCCCTTCTTGATGTTGATATTTTTGTCTACAGCATACAATGCTATCCAATTAAAGATTGGACATCAATTAACATCACAAAGTAGGATTAAAGGCACATGAAGTATTGAATGTATTGAGGCATGTATGCACTATGGAATATTATTTAGCTGTCAGGAAAAACAGCTAAATAAATCATGGAATTTGTAGGTAAATGGATGGAAGTAGAAAATATCAAATTATATATTTAGGAATAAATGTATGCATGTGGTATGTGTTTGTGTGTGTGTGTGAGAGAGATTAACAACAATTAAAGAAAAAGAAATAGAGGCCATGAATTTGACAGAAAGCAAAAGGGTGACGTACAGGAGAAGGGTTGTAGGAAGGAAAAGGAAGGGAGAAAATTATGTAATTATATTTTAATTAAAAACTGTTTGATAAAGAAAGTTCCCTTAGTAATGGGTAGCATAACAATGCCCAAACCCAACAATAATACAAACACTGTTATAATTACTGTATAGCACAGCAGACACATGAAGAACATAATTTTCAGTGACTATAGTACACATTTCTCTTTCAAGTCCATAAAGCATATAGTCAAACTTTTGATCATATCTTGAACCATAAAGATGTCAGAACAGAACCAAAGTCTAGATCTCATGCAAATCATGTCTCTGACCACAGCGTAGTTAAGCTAGGCCTTGGAGAACTAAACATAACAATCTGAAATCTCTAAATATTCACACAACACGAAATGCAAATTATAAAATTCCCATGGGCAATACAAGCGATCACAAGGGACTTTAGAAAACACTTTAAAGTGAGTGATAATGAAAATGCTACATAACACACCTTTTGGATACAGTTAAGTGGGGAAATGATAGCCTTAAGTAGAACAGCACAGAATGTCTGAAAATAAGCAGATTCATCAACCTTAAATTGTTAGAAAGGTGTGGCCTTTAATTCTAGCACTCAGGAGGCAGAGGCAGGTAGATCTCTGAGTTCAAGGCCAGCCTGGTCTACAGAGTGAGTTTTAGGACAACGAGGGCTAACCCAGTCTCAAAAACCAAAATGAAAAAAAAAAGTTTGAAGGAGATGAACTATGTAAACGAGAGAAAGCAGAGGTAGTAGAATTGTTACTGAGGAGTGAGGTTGTTGTTGTGTTACAACTGACAATATGGATCTTAAGCCTTGGGAAATGGCTTTTGTTTTGGTGGATGGGGGTGTTGGGTGAGAGGGATGTAGAAGAGTTTGGAACTTCAGCCCAGAAAAAAGACCTAGATTATTGTAAGCTGAGCTACAATAATGAGTGGGAGTTGAAAAGACAAGAATTCAGAGAGGAAAAAAATGCCTAAAAGAGAGGTCCAGCTTATGAGGTTTCAGAGAGGAACAGAGGTCCCATTGGCTAGAGGTGATTCATGGTAATTCTGGCAAAGACTCTGCTACATTCTCTCTGTGTCCTAAGGACTTGACTGGGCTGGTTTGTTTGGAAGAAGAAATACCTAGACAGAATGACACTAAGGTTGTGTCATGGTCTCTGCCTACTGCTCTTAGTTTATAGTGAAAGGAGCAGAAAGAGGGAAAATATGCAATTCATAGGCTGAAGAGAGTGAGTTTAAGGTTTCAGATAATACAGGAACTGAGAAAGACATTGCAATTGCTCAAGAAATGGGCCCTGTTGAAGAGAAACCCTGTGCTTTGCACTGGGGTGATAGCAAAGCAGCCGTTGAAGGCAAGATCCTACCCATCGAAATTTCTATCTTGTGAAGTTGCAAGTGCATTTGAAAGAATAGAGTTTAAGACGTCAGTGCGGCTGGAGTTCAAAACCCTGCAAGAAACAGGAAACTTGGGGATATTTTCTGGGGACCAGCACACAAGGACAGTGTAATCCAAAGGGGCCAGACTATATCTCAAGAACTTGGAAACATGTGTACATAGGTCCTGGTTTCATAGGCATGAAAGATTTAAGGATGGGAGGGGAGTCATGGTAGTTTGTGACAAGGTTCCTGAAGGCCACTGGGGCCAGGCAGTGTGTGTCAGGCTCAGAGTCACTATAAGGAGGCTCTGAGGGGACAGAGTACCATTACTCTGCTTCTTGACTTGCAGATGCAGAGCAATCAGTTAGTTCACGTTTCTGCTGCCATGCCTTTCCTGTAATTCTAGAGTGTACCCTCAAACTATGAGCCTTCGTTCCTTCCTTCTTTCATTCCTTCCTTCCTTTCTTTGTGAGGTATTTTGTCACAGTGATGAGAAAGTAACCACCACAGAAAGAAAGAGTAAATACACAATCAGAAATTAATGAAGTGGAAAACAGACGCATACTGGAGAGATCAGCAAACCCAAAAGTTCATAATGTGAAAAGACCAATAAATTAAAGTTCTGTTGGGATTAAGGGCATGCATGAAAGAAAGATTAGGGAGAGAGAAAAGGAAGATAAAAATAATTAATGTCATGCATGAAAAGGGAGTTACTGCATGTACTGAAACGATAACAAGATGTATGAACAATTTTATGTAAATATACTTGAAAATTCAGATGTAATAGAAACATTCTTAGAAAACCACAACAACTGAAAATGGTTCAAAGGGAAGAAAAAACTTGAATAACCTTATACTACTGAGGAAATTAAATCAGCATGCAAAAACTCTCCTCACGAAAAATCCCAATGTGGAGGAGGCTTCATCAGAGGTCTAACAATTATTCAGTGTAGAATCCAGAATGACTGAGACTCTTTCTGAAAGTACAAGGAGAGGTCAGTGCCCACAGCTCACTACCAAAAGCAAATGCACCATTGATATAAAAATTGGGCTAATACAGTACAGATCAAAGGAAATTGCCAAATAATGTCTCTTGAAACGGGGGCAAAACCTGAAACTAAGTGCAAAAACATAGAAAAAGAATAAAGACCAAGTTGACTTTATCTCTTAAAGTTGAAGAGCTTCAGTAACAGCGTGATTTATCACATTTTCAAAATAATTTTTGAAAAGCTGACATGAAAAGATGAACATACAGAAAACATATGTCCTCATTCAATATCCGCTTATAATAACCGCATGGACTCTTCAACTAGGAATAGCATAAACTTAGTATGATAAAGACCGTCTGTAAGAACTTCTAACCCCATACATGATAGTGAACACTGGAAGCATTTCTTTTGAAAGCAAAGAGAAGCCAGTGTTTCCTGTTGTGTCCAGTCACCACTGGAGTGGGAATCCTAAAGAAACGCAGCAAGCAAGGATTGGAAAAGAAGAAATAAAGCTATCACTATTTTCGATGGCATGGACACAGCCA